CAAAAGTATAACACTTCCACTTGACGCCGATCTTCTAAAAGGTCGTGATACTTCCCCGGACGGACCTGTCCATTCGTGTATGAAGATTGTTGTGTGTACTACAGTTTTTTTTATTTACCTCACTGCACTTCTCTATGTAAACATTAACTATTCTACATCTCACACCCCTCCCTGCGTACCATACTCTTAAATAAGGATCCAAATATTTTGCTTTACGCATAGAGAAAGAACTTGGACTGCCCTATATGGCGATCGAAGCTTGTTTGTTAACTAGTTTATCATCCAGTGCTGGACACTGGATGATAAACTAGTAAATTGTAATAAACTAGTTAGTTGATTTATCAAGATTTTTCGTATTATATATCAGCTCATTATTTACGACTTTAGAAAAAGTATAGCCATAGTTCCTATTATGATAATATTATACATCTTTAAATAGGTTAAAGATCTATAAAATTCTCATAATCTATCTTCTTCTACTTTCTCCCCTAATTCTACCTAGGTGGGGTTGGCATAACAGTGAATCATGTTGTTAATGGTATTATTTTTGTTGTTATTTACTAATATTTCCTTTAAACTACTAAGGCAATGAATTTTCAGATCTCCTTTCTTGTTTTCCCTTTGCGTCAAATGAACTTCTGGTCATAAGTTAATATTAACTGATGCACCAGTCTGTTTGCTTTTTTTTGTTATCTTTCAGTATTGAAAGGGAAGACAGTTTCAATGTGTTTTACAATTATTTACCGAAGATGTATAAATAGGATTAGTGAGAATTTTAAGTCTACATTTTTATACCGTACTATATTAATCACTCGAGTAGCGTATAATGGCCGTAGCCACCCTATATTATAACATTAAGGGATTAAAACAAGCCAGTAGATCTTCTTCGGGTGTTTAAAAACAGCTTCCCCGTGACATGTGATATAATGCGACAAGGTTCGAACGCCTCACGCATCACCGCAGAGAGAATACTGAGCCTAAGACAAATTGACAATTAACCTCGGTCATATATCACCGATTTCCTTATCCTTAAGTTTTTTTTTTCTTAAAATAATCGTTTTCTCGGAGTTTACTGGCCAGTTTTAATAAAACCATAAACAGTTTTATTTTTTAGGGTTCCAAAAGGGTAAGACGGGACCCTATTACTAAAAATCCGCTGTCTGTCTGTCTGCCTGTCCGTCTGTCACCAGGCTGTATCTTATGAACCGTGATAATTAGACAGTTGAAGTTTTCACAGATGATGTATTTCTGTTGCCGCTATAACAACAAATAACTAAAAAATAGAATAAAAAAAAAGTGGGGCTCCCAAACAACAGAAATGATTTTTATGTTTATATAGATAATGGACGGATGGTACGGAACCCTTCGTGCGCAAGTCCGACTCGCACTTGGCCGGTTTTGTGACAAAGTGTTGTTGTTACAACTTTATTTTAAACAATAATAACTTTTTTTATTTAACTTATTAAATCATTTCTACCTAATTTACATTTGTTATTATTTGTGTTTGTCAAGTTTATATTACGTCAATTGCACTTTGCGTAAAAATTATGAACGTGTTAAATTAAAATTATTAGGTTCCAATAATAGGTGGATAATAAAAAAAATCCCAACGATCTGTATCAAGGAGTAATGTATTATCAAATCCACCTTTTGCATGTTGCTTCATTTGTAAGTGAACACGTAGACTTTGACAAATTTAAAACTGACATTTCAAGACAACTACCACATTAGCTCATTGGGCAACGCTCTTCGTCGGAAGCTGAGCTAATGTGAAAGAATAACAAATGATTCGTCAATCGTCGACATCTAAATGCCAGCCAATTGGGTTCGCGCCCTCATTGATTGCCATGCACCAGGATATTTTGTCTTCCCGAGGGTGACACGGCCCTTCCCTGAAGCGGGACCAAAATATCCCGCCTGTTTACGGGTTAACTATGACGCCCCTATCATTATTAACGCGTTCGAGTTTACCTCCAATAAGTTTATCTGTCGTTTCCGCAAGAAAAAACACCACTGCATTCAATTACTATGGAAAAACCTCTCTTATTATTTCGACATAAATATTTATCTGCATTATATCAAGCGTGAAGTTTCAAGTGCATATAAAAATAGTAAAGTAGTGTATAAGTGTATATACATATATGTGTATAATTATGTATATATAACAGTAAAAACGATTGTAGAAAAGCTATATTCAGGGATTTTAGCATTTAGTTAATATTGTAAATACTGTTACTTCATTAATTCCCACATTTTTTTTTTACTTTATTATCAATTTCACACAATCTTCCTGTTAAAAAAATGTATATAATAAAGAGAAAAGATTTAATTTCTTGTATCATTGTTTATAATGGATTCATCCATTCTAACAATGATAATAAACCTAAAAATTGATTAATAGATTTTAAAAATTCACGTTAAAGTCACACCTCACAGCAGACCGGTATGAAGTTGATGTATTATATACTATAATACTTCGCGTTTCGTCTGATGAGTACAATAACCAGGACTCATTTTTAAAGGTTATCGACGCATCAAATTCAAATATCTTTATTTGAGATTACACTCACTTACTGATTGTTAAAATACTACTACCGGAAAAGAAAAGTCACTGATCTGAGAAGAATCGGCGAACGAAACTCAGCAGGACAATATTTTTTTAACATTTTGCATGCCCTCAGCTGTCCATGTGTGGTGGTATTCACTTAATATCAGCCCTACGCCCTACGTGAAGTCTATTAATTATTTTTACCTACATGATTTATTTTTTGTAAACTGTCAATGGCTTAAAAATTTATTTTATTTTATTTTTAAACTTCATGCAAAACACAGTACATAGGTGGACTTAATGCTGACAGCAAAATTGAATAGTAGTTTGTAATATCTCTACAATTACAGTGCCAATTTATCTTTCTATCCTGTGCGAAGCCGGGGCGGGTCGCTAGTCTTTTATATAATGACACAACAAGGGACTCGTTTGTACGGAGAACTTATTTACGTCCGCGACGAGCCAGATTGACCCGAGGGGGACGCTGTGATTGAATTTTGACGTCTTTATTGGGTAATATTGATATACTACGTGATTATGGATCATGTTTTTCTACTCTGGAGTGCTGGGGTCAAATAGGTTGTATCATACGAGTATATCGATCTAATTTGTCCTGCGCGCAGATTATTGAGAACAGAAGAAACATGTCAATAACATCATCAAAGACTTGAATAACTCTATTTAACACACTACGTAATAAATTGTATTGATTGTACATACTTTGTTAATTTTGTATAAAACTTGTATGACGGTTTATGCCGTTATTATAAATGCCGTAAAATATTTGTAATGCGACAAAATAAATGCGATTACTTTTTTTATGTGAGAAGATAGTAAGCTAGCTGGCGGTTCACCTGATGTTACCTCAGTGATATTGATGCAAACTTCACTGTAGTCACCATTCGCTGAGTTTTTATGTTTTTATATAGTGTTTTTTTCTCTCACAAATAGTTTTAAGTTTTAAGTTTTTGTGTTGTTAAATTTAAAACATTGTGGTTTGCACCTATAATTGACATGGCACTTACCAAGCCCGATATTAGCATATTGCGTATAAATTGTCTAAATATAGTGTTCATCTTGTTGGTGTAACAAAAATAAATAAATAAAATAAATAAATAACGGCCGCCTATGGACATATTGAACATAGGGTTGGATATACGTTGCCACCTTTAAACAAAATGGCCCCAAACGCAGATGTATAACTTCCACTTCACACTGGCTTTCTGTGAAGTCGTGGATCTCCCGGACTGACATGCCCATTCGTGCAACAGCAAAGACTACTGCGTGGTTCTCTTACACTCAACTCACTTTATAATCTTCAACTCTATTGTATTATTTTTTGACATATTTGTATAAATATATTTTTGTTATTTATTTATTTATGGGTCCTATATACGTACTTGAACATACTTTTCTTTTGTAAATAAATACATATTATAGATATACATAAACACCCAAACACTAGTAAAACACTATGTACGTATGTATTCGGGTGTAGTTATTCAAAATAATATAATTCGGCATGTCTTCATTAAAATTTAGAAAACCAAATACGGTCCGATAACTCACAGTGTTTCGTGTCTGAGTGCAAGGATAACGATGAACAACGCAACAGATTCGCTGATATATTCGTATTCAGAATAGGTCTGTCTCCGCGCACATTATCGTGAGCTGATTTGTTTAACGTCCTCGGATCCATCCCTATTCCGTGAAACGGGCCTAAAGCTGGTACGTATCGCAGTTTTCAATGTTCCGTGGCGTATTGTCTCGATTGTCTTTCGAGGCGCATGCCCGGCCAAACGGAAGTGGCCGCCACAGTGTGAATACGATATCGGCCTGCGACTCCGACAAGATTTGATTTTAGACTCTTTTAACTCGTGTGTCATTAGAAAAAAAGGTCCCTCTGTGCGTCACTGTCCCATCGACCGCCCTGGTGTATCCGTCAATATTACAATTCTATTATCGAATTATTTTCAGTCGATGAAGGCACCTTTGGCCAGTAGTGAGACGTTTGTGAAGACATAATTAATGTCATCATCATTTCAGCGTGTTCGAGTCCACTGTTGACCTGTTGTCCCACACTGCTAATTAATGTGTTATAGCATTGTTTGTTATACAGTACGCCATGATAGCTCATTTCCCGGGCGCTCGCTTTAATTTCAATATACTCGAGCAATCTTAGTTCGATCCCCGATGCTGGCACCAATGAAATTGTTAATTTTAAGTGCTCACTTATCACGTGCTCAGCCGTGAAGGAAATCAACGTGAGGAAACCTGCATATTTTCGGAATAAAAAGAAATATTGCGAAGATGATATATGTGAAGTCTGCCAATCCGCAGTGGGGTCGCGTGGTGGACTGTGTCCTAATGCCCTCCGTACAGAAGCGGTCTTTGCCCAGCAGTGGGACATATATAGGCTGTTACTTTAATCTTGTTATACAATGTGTTGCAGTGCGATGAAGGCGGCGGCGCGCCTGAAGGCATCAAGAGCGAGCCCCCCGAAGCAGAGGAGCCCCGTGCCATGCAGAAGGTCCCTTCCCTCTCAGACCTCTCGGATCCAGAAGCCTCCTTGGGTAAGTACATAAGTAGAAACTATTGTCATACATGTTCCGCAATTGCAGCCTTTAGATTGACACCGATTTTGCGCCAACTCAAAAAAGAGGAAGGAATAAGTCTATAGATTTCGGACGACTCAACGACTTTTCGAAAAGTTATTAAAAAATGCTCAGTTGTTAATTGTGTACCGAATTTAGGATTATATTTAAATGACGAATAATTTCCACGAAACGTGGAAATAAAAAAAAATCCTATTCAAATGTTTACGAGGCATTCTAAAAGGATCTTTATTTTGTTATAAGTTACTAGTGTAATGAAATGTGAAAAATCTACTTAAACTGTTTTAATTATTCAAAACAAGCTCTAAAAAATATATGGCAATTGCTATGTGCAAGCCATTGGCCGATTCCTTTCCTGCTATTATACTGCGACAATCCTGGAGGTCGTGTATGACAGACCAATCATGGCATCACACCTTGTAAAACTTCCAAGGTTCAATCCATTCGTCACGGAAACCCCTGTTAGCTCCATTCAGCAACTCCTCATCACATAAAATCATCGTCTTCCACAAACGTTTATGTTACGTCAATTTTTAAAAATTGTTAATAATATAAATAATTATAAAATGTGTAACAAATTTTGTGGAAAGCGCAAACTGTATTAAATTATAAAAAGCGAAAAACTAATTTTCGATAGTCAGCCACTGAAGTTAACGTTACTTGCCATTCAAGATGTTGATTAATGCTGCAATTTTGTTTGTTTCTCTACGAAAATCAGGTGTTTTTGTGTTGAACAGTGACCCAAAACCTTAAACCTTATACCCAAGAAGTTTGGCAAAATCTAGATATTTAAAACAAAAGTTCTTATTATAATATAACAAGAAATATTATCATTATCAAATTAAAGTAAATTATTGAAATAATCAATTATGCCCTTAGGTATATAAAGTAAGTACTGATGCATGGATCTAAAATAAACTAGGAAAAGCCTTCATTCATGATGGCAATTGACAAACTTCGAAACGTTTCACTTGAAGATAAGATTTACAGCAGTCCATAGACAAGCTGAAGTGGCGATGCGCCAACCATATAACACTTAGAACCGACAACCGATGGGGCAGAAAGGTTCTTGAGTGGCAGCCTCGTACTGGCCATCGCAGTGATGGACCACCCCCTATTAGTTGGAGTGACGACCTGTGCAAATGTGCGAGAAGTTGATGGATGCAGGATGCCTTCGTGGCAGTCTATGGGGGAAGCCTATGTTCAGCAGTGGTCTCAAACAGGCTGAAATTATGATGGTAGACAACCGCAACACAACTTTTATTGCAGAGGCGTTGCAAATCTTAGAAGATTAACAACGGTTACCTCACCAAACGAAACGCTGAAGTGCTTCGAGGGTCAACTGTTATCACCCTCGTTAGACAAAACGCTACATCAAATACTTTTAGCATACCGCGGTATTCTATAAGGCCGCGGTAGTTCTGCGGAAAAGCATAGCTATCCGTGCAACAGGGGCACTTCAACGTGATATATGAGGTACCTAATTTATCTCCAGCGTTGCGCCAATATAGATCAAATGATTAGCAAATAGGTGAAGCCCGAATAGGATAATGCGACGCATCCTTGTTACGGGCACTCGCTGCACTTTCAGACGGCTGCGACAGGGGCGTGACGTGACGTGAAGTGACGTGACAAAAACTATTTTTTTATCATAACGCACGCACACACATGCACGCACAAACTACGGAAAACTTAGTTGTACTAAATTTCCACTTCCTTTTTCCGAAAACTAGCGAGGCAAGATTCGAACGCTAATTAGAAATTTAAGGATAGATGGATTGGTTATAGGTGTAAAAACATCAAAAATTAAATTTAATTTTGAATATGAAAAATTAATTATATATTTATTAAAGACAAACCAAAAATAGGGAAGTTTGATTAAAGCGGCCATATTTTATTAAATTTCGTATCATGTGACAAATGGTCGAGAAAATAACATTTGCAGGAAACAAATGAAACTTGCATTCTGGACATAGCTACAGTTTCCCTCATATCAGAAGTTAATTAAATATGCTGCGTCCTGATTTCCGGGTCCTAATTATTTTATTTCACATAAGAGGTTAACGCACGGACTGAGACGTGCCGGAGGAGTTTGTCAGTCTCCAGGGTGGGCCGCGCATACGGGCCCATTGTTTCATGTGTCTTTGTTTATGTATGTATTTCAACGTGGGAACGGCTGCTATATCGCTCTTATGTATTCACTTGCCGCTTATGTGGCCGGTGTTTACATTTATTCCGTCGAATAAAAGTTTCACATTGAATAAAGTCACATTTAAATTAACTTGTCGAAAAACCTTTAGGCATTACCTTAGATTTTATAAAAAGTCAATAAACCATATCACACTCCTAAAAATGTATTGTTAAAGCCTGGTTAAATATTTAATTTGAGCCCACTTATAATATGATATAAACTTGTCTATATATATGAATAGTCGTTATTTTATTATACAATTCTTGTTTTATAGTGTCGTACTATCTTAGCAACATAATTCATTAAACCAGATAATTACAATTGTGTTTTGTTTATCAACGATATACACGTTCTATCGTGCGTAAATCTAGATTTTATATCGTTTTATTCATTATAAAAACTTTACATGTATATGAATGATTAATTTGAATGCGACACAAAACAGATTAGCCCGCGCGATGCAATTGGCGCGAAATAAAAGCAAAGTGAATGGAATGAATGAAATTTGAATGTGAATGAGCGGCTATTTATGCAATATGGGCGCGTTCCGGGCGAATTGATCTCGATGCGGTGTGGTGCACTTCGTAATTACAAGTCTCGCAACTTATTTATCGGCTTTGATTTGCTTTATCTTGTTTCATAAAGCTCAATAAATGCGTATTAGAGGTTTGTTCTTTTTTATTACTTTTGTGATTTCGCTATCTCGTGTGACCGAAATGATAGTTGCAGATATAAAGATGCAAAAGTATTTCTAGACTAGATGCACTTTATGAGCGTTGGAAGCAAAATTCACTTCAAACATTAAGCAATGGGAATTTTGCTTTTGTGTAGTTGCGAAGTCCTTTTTTTATGTTAGGAAAAAGTTGAAAGTCTGATGTTGACAGGTAGGTTAATACCGCTTAGGTTAATACCGCTGCCTATTATCCTATGTACATCACCTGCAGATGTAGATGCGTTGCCGACCTTTAAAAATTGGGCTCTGGTTACTTCACTCTATAGAAAAAATAAAATGAAAGTATTATGCTTCCACCTCGAGCCAGTCTTTTTGAGGCCGTAGAACTTCCTAGAACCCTGCTCGATAATTCAAGCAATTATAGGACACCTAACCCTGCCAGAATTCAAGCAACAGCAGAACCTGCAACGTGACTCTACTACTGTAGTAGGGGCACGCAGCGTTTTACTTGTGGTGAATTTTTATAAAACATAGGAATATTTTGGAAACTTTATATTGCGTAACTTATTATTTATATTGTAAGCTGTTGTATGTTAATGATGCTATCGTTAATAAAGTACAACTTTATTAACGATAGCATCATTATTTAATATAAATTGCACTTAATGTAATAACAAATGAAAGCCAAACTTTACTAGTAGCACATTATCATATCAATATTCCAGCGAACGAAAACAATGCGAGCAATTCGTGGCTCTATCTCGCCGCCGCTCGTGACTCATTCTGTACACAAGAAATTTAAAATAGTTCGTATGTAACATCTGACTCCATTAAAATAAGAGCTCGCTGATAAAAATGTTTACAATTCGTCCTCCTGTAATATACAGGCTTGCATTAAATGATCTCACGTTTTAAAATAATTAAGTAATAGCTTTCATATTGTTTAATTAAACGATTTATTAATTTTATTGCTTAGAATATGTTTTTGCAACCCAATCTCTTCGAAACGTCGGATAGTTAGAAACAAAGTTGTCACAATGAAATTGTTAAATTGTATTATTTAGTATACGTATTCGTGTTAGTTCTAAAAAAATAAATTGATCTTTACCGATTTATTATTATTAATTTTTCATCGATTTTTTCGTGTAGTAAAATTGATTGCTTGTCTCCTCGGTAATGTTTCGTAAATATTTGACAAATTGATTTAAAAAATGTTAAAAACTATTTTATTTTAAATAATATTATTCATCAATTACAGGGATTACATTAACAATGTTATTTTTTAATTTTAGGTATATTTGAATATGCCTTATTATTTTATGGTTTAATTAATATTACGTTTAATTTGACATACTTCCAACAATAAAATATGCGGAAAATACCCCTTAATAAATATCCCTTGTTTTATTTTGACAAATCTTCTAAAACTAATAAATTATTTTAAAATAGAGATTTTCAACTGTACATTAAATTGTCATTCGGGACTAAAAAGTTAGGAAACAAATGAAGCCTTTTAGGAGGGCCTTGTCACTGGCTGGATTACAAAAAATTAAGAAAACGTGCAGCCACCGATGCTATCCCTACACATGATACCTGATCTGAAAGGATGTTGCGGTGTCCACTTCCCCTGCGTGTTGATCGCTCCACGGGATGTTGCAGAAACTACGTTTCAAACATTTTGTTGTATATTTTCACTTCGATTCTAGCTGTGTTACAACATAACTCCGTAAACATTTATAACTTAATGTTATGTTTGTAAACATAACACCGCAATTTGTTATAATTTCTCGATTCAAAGTAGGCAAATACGAACGGAAACTGTTAATTTGTATTGGAGCTTTAATACTGTCAATGAGAAACGACTTATTTCATTTTGAAAATTGTTTGGTCGAGTTGTGGTTCTCATCCAAAACTAGTTAATCGTTTTATCGAATTAAAACTGCTGCCATTTGTTGATTCCTCTATTTTGAAACAAATTTTAATATTTCTACATCGTAATTAATTGTCTGCGTTGCCCTTTTCCTTGTAAAAACGCCTCGACAGTAAAATTTAACAGTGGGATGCAAAAAGGATTTTTGAAGTTTTACTTCTTTTGGCGCGAATGGAAAAAATTATGTGAGTAAAATTTTTACGATGCGCGCGCACACCGATAGCCAAAAAGTGACATGATGACCGTGAAGTTGGTTGCACAGCGACTGCGACGGAATTACCATGGCAACCAAAAACAACTTTATGAAATTTACCTATAATTCTTAGTTATTTAATTAAGCCGTTATCGATCGCATATAATGTCAATGGCATGTAATATGCTTTGCGTAGCCTTTTTTAACGTAAACAGTTTTCTATACAAAATCAACCTGACTGACCACTGCCCGTAGTAACATTATATGGATGGTGGGTTAAAAGCAGTCTTTTACGCTCCACCAAGTGGAAATCCAGTTTCATATGTCACTTGAGACAGCCGTTGATTAATTTGAGCTTTATTACTTTCTGTATAGAACATGTTTTCTCAACATTAAATATTTTCGCCATGAACCTCTTTTATGTTATATCAAGTAGCATTGCATGTCAACTTACCCTTAGAGACATTATGGGATATGTAACACGTGCAATGTATGGTCACGTTTATTGGGTATTTGTTTATGATGAAAAATATGCTTGCCTTACTTTAACAAAACCATAGATTACGAAACTTTAACAAAAATTATATTGATACGATACGAAATACAAGATATCATTACACTTTTATTTGATACCACTTTATTTAAATCGACGCGAGATGAAACAATTTCCTGTCATTCCTGTTACGCAACTTACGCGAGTTGTACGCAAAGTGAGTCACTTCCTCGTTGTAAATTTCTAAAGACCAAAAACCGGCGCTTTACATATTAAAAAATAAATGAATTTCATTTAATAAACCCAAGAACGTTTTTTAAACTCTTGGCGAAATATTTCTTGTATGTTATTTGTTAAAAATAATCAACTAAAAGGATTCGCAAAAATAGCACATCGAGTACCAGAGCAACAGAGTCTGCTTTAAGCACCCGATTTCAACCATGCATTTTATTAACATTATTGCTATGCGAAAATAAAGCTGCACAGCTATCCCCGTGTAAGCGGGCCCATGTGTTGACACAAGGGAATTCTCATGAACGGGCCTAGCGTGTTGACTCAAATAAACACGTGCGCCCGTTGCAGGCGCGGTGTTAACGTCCGACGCGCGCCGCGCCGCGGGCTTCATTCATGAAGCGGTTTGAATGGAGCGCGGCGAAAGCTCTGCGGACGTTATGAGCGCCTGGTACCCGCGGCGGATCGCTCGGCGGACATGTTGCCCGATCCGTCCGCAGTCCGCGGTCCGCGCCGGCCGTCGCCACTGGACGATAACGCCGATCGGCGGACACGAAAATAACCTATAATCGGGGAGCTTTGTTCGTCCGTAATTGAAATCGTGGCACATTTCAAACAACTTCGCGCTCACGTGCATATGTGGCTGACGTAACCTCACACCCTCACAGCTCCACTCCAGCCGGCGGAGTTTACGAGTCTCTAGCTCTATCAAACAAAGCATAATTTACCAAGATTTATTTGAATCTCCCTGGAGCGTCTTGAAATTGCTTCAAATAACCTGTAAAAAACAAGGAAAAATTTACAACTCAATCCGGTTCGAAAGCTTCATTTAAATTGATAAAAATATTTTATCTAATACCCACTCCTTAAGTATCGAGAGAATTTAGCACCGAAATTCCCATATCTGTTCGATGTGCGTGGGCGAAATGAAGTATCGGATTAGCTTTAACAAGTTTTTTTCTAGGTAGTTCAGTGTTCTAATCAATTCGATTTATTATTCGAATCTTTTTTAATTCCACAGATGACTAATATATACAAGACAGACTAAAATTATATTTTCACCAATTCGTAGTAAATGTGAACGTGCTGGGAGAGTTTAACGTTGTAACATATTATTACAGTTGATTCAAACGAATATTCCGGTGGCAATAGGATTAGACAACTGAAATTTGAAAACACATTTAACGTGTTTGAATCCTTAAAACAGTTTTATTTCATTTTATTCGCTGGAAACGAAGGAAAAAATATTCCTGCATTATCATGATTGATCAGTTAATGTTGTACAGTTAGTTCTACCTTGAATTATTATAAAAAAAACTCTTTGATTTGGTACAACTCGACAAATTTCGTTGGGACAAAATTTATTTAACAAAACTCTATCCATTCGCATAGAACAATGCATGGCTATAGGGAATTGTGGCGCGACGTCTTGAAATTTGAGAATAGACGTCGTCGAGGCTAATAAACCCATCACAAATGATAGAAATATTGATTCGCTATGTTGGTATCGCCCATAGATAGTATTGAGCTTGGGACAGGCTTATTTGTTGCGCTTTTGACGCAAACGGCACAATGAAAAAATTATATTCGTTATTTCACGCGGTAAAAAATGTTCAATATTTAAATTACTATTAATTGGCATCTCTCCCGCCATTTCGGGAAAAATAGAAAATTTTTGAATTTTTTATTGATTCTGTTTTGTTTTATGTGTCCTTGTAGATAGTGATGTTCATTTACATACATAAACATTTTTAAAGAAACTACTGCTCTGGCCACAATTATTTCTTGTAAACTGTAAGTTCTATGAATGCCATTGCCACCTGTTACATGCAAGTGCAAATTTTTAAAATATATGGTCAAATTAAATAATTGCAAGTAATTATCGCTAAGTAATGAAATTTAAGAGCCTCAATTAAGGTCGCTAAAGAACAGAATACTCTGAACTTGACATAACTGTAATGCAATTAAAATTTACCAGTTGAAAGTTAAAAAACGTTTCGTAAGACCGGTTAATTTTTTATTAACTACAGTCACAATATTGAGTGAAATAAAGCTTCAGGGCACTGATTCAGTTTTTTATGTGAAAAGTTGGCCAACGACTAAACAAGAAAGAAAGAAGCCCCTTAAAAGATTGCAAATGCCATCCGTTAAGAAATTGGGATCCGGTTACCTCACTCATCAGAAGAAAGACTGAAGTATATGTAATACTTCCATTTCACGCAAATCTTTTGTGAGTCCGTGGAACTTCCCCAGAAAAGCCTGCTCTGCCCGTGCAACAGTAGATATCTATTGTTTTTTGTTTGGCCCTACTACAGATAAAATTTCGGGAATGAAATTATTTTAGGCAATATGGTTCTTTCATATGATATATTTTTAATACTTTAAAAAGCGATGCGCTATGCAACGTTATAGTTTACAACATTATGTCAATATTATAACTATAATTGAATTGTATAAAACTGACAGTAGAATTGTAGATATAAAACTGAGAGTTGATGATCTAAAATGTCTGTCTACCCCTCTGAGCGACGGGTGTGAATGCTTATTATTAATAAACATAGGCATATAATACCACGTTAAGAAGTAAACACCTTCTCGCCTCTTGTTCATAAAGACAACTTTAATTCTCAATTCTGTTCAACATCGATTTTTTTAATGCTAGAAATATAATTATTTCGTTACTGTATTATAGTATATTTGTAAAAACTGGAATAGCGTGCAGTGTTACGCAATAAACAAGAGACATCTCGGGTTCTTATAAAAAACATCTATAATTACTGCAATACGTTGATCGGCCGCGACCAAGAATCTTTTACATAAACATACACGTACACTACGCACAATAAATTCACACCTCAAGCCTCATGTTTTCTCCAACGCTCGTAGTTTATTTACATCGATTCTAAAACACGAATCTAACTAATAAAGCTTTAACTCCTGGCCGTGTAGAATTTTTAAATACGAATTTGAATATATTTGTAGCATCAAACGCGGGTAAATATTTTTTTAGTGTGGTTTTTATTAATTTGACAATAATTTAAGCGAGTTAAAAAAACTGATGTCGCATTCTCGCTGCGTCCCTGGTAGCGTTCGCGCATCCAAATGGATTCTTCGTCACCTCAGCTCGCTTGGCTCGCTCCTGGCATACTAATAGGACAGACATTATACCATTATACTTTGACACGTACAAAAATCATATTTTATCAACTTCCCACTATACGTGTCCCTTCAGCGACGACTTCAAAGAGGCGTTTTATAGTTACCCGTAACCAAAGAGGTTATTTTATTATACAAACTTTAATGGTACACGTATGTTTTATGCCAGGGTGAACGGTGCTAATCAAGTAATATGTTTATATGCCATAAACTTATTTTATATCATAATCTTCTTTTGAAGTTAACTACATATCGACCAACCATTGTCTAAGAGTAGATATTCCGTACTGAACTAAATACTAATTTAAATGCATGTAGTAATATCATTTTTGACTAAGTAATATTATGTACAAACGGCACAGATTTCGAATATCCTAACATCCGCGTATTCATCCAATAAATCGGCGCATTCATTCTAACGTTTGAGTCCTAAATATGATTTATTGGCGTAATAAATCTGTTGCAGACTCGTTATGATACTCCGAAGACGTTTGAGAGGCTGCCAACTTGCGGCAAATGACTACTCGCACTTCCAGAGCGATGCTTCTGTACTTAGTTACGAAAGTACAATAAAACGTATTTATTATTAGAAAAGTCTTCTACGGCTAGCGGCACGGCTAGGCTTACTAGGCTAGTGAGCAAAGAGTACTTTTATATATCTGAAAGTGCTGAGCAAAGAGTACTTTTATATATCTGAAAGTCACTGCTAGTGAGCTCCGGGTTTTATTTTCAATAATATCAAGTACTTAATAGACAAAAGCCCCATGTCCGATAGACGATATAAAACTTGAATAACAGTTAATTTTTAGGTAACGATATCATAGAAGTATTTTAATAATATGTGAAATACGGCATAGTTTTAAATAAACTATAAAAAGGGAATCATTTTTGAACATTAAAAAAGTAAAAATGTGTAGGTGCGCAAGCGCAGCATCTAATGGCGCCATCTAGAGTAATTTTGAATCAACGTAGAGGCGAAGGCTCTCTTGTCAGTACAACTAATCTCGGATAGATGGCGCTTTAGAAAATTTTACGATATGTTATAATAGATGGCGCTTGAAACTAATTCTTATTTTTTTAAACTTTAATTTAATAATGTATGTGTATGTAAGTTTTTTTTACAGTTTTTTAGGTACATTTAATGTCACCTGTAACGTAATGTTATGGTTATTTCATGGCAGCAACTTCAATTAAAAAATTCAGTTAAAAAATACACAAATAAATAGTAAAAATATTATATGAAACATTTAAAACACATTTTTAACATATTTTTCATTGTTAAAACTACTATAAATCACTGATGGAACATAAATCAATAGTTTTATTAGCTTTACGCAATTTCATAAGGATTTTATTGAATAGTTGAAGAAGATTTTATTGATATTGAATGAAGAGTTCTTTCTAATTTAGTAAGGTAGGTAATATAACATGTATACGATTTGGTATTGTTGAAATTATTGCTTGGAAGCTAAAACAATCTTACACTTTAACATAAAACACGAGTAATTCTATAATTATGTGTTTTTACATAAAAAACAAGCAATTGTTTACTAATTGTTGTTTAAGCCCCAGTGAATCTCGATACGAATTATCTAAAGGGGACAACAAAGCGATCGTGAAAACATCTTGCATTGAAAAAAGACCTTGCTCGGGCGGCGGCTGTGCGTTGTGGACGTGACGTCACGGGGGCGGGGAGCGGTGGGGGAGTCGCGGCGTGGGAACCGCGCGGCAGGTGCGCGCCGGCCACTGATCCTGAACCAGCACACCTATGCGGATACGCACACACGCACAAAACGCCCGTTATTGACAAAGTTCCGCTTTTCCAGTGGCCTTAGGTAATTATTATCGGCAGGGATGGAGTAGAACCAACTGAAATTACCAAAGATCATAATTCAGACCGCAATCGGCTCTCTTCTTCGTAATCGCGAGGGTTTTTGCTGTTATATGCGTTTCTTTAATTGCATCCACGTAGACAGCATTAAAAGCATTCGCAACATTATTGAAATCAATACGAAGAATCGATTAAGATATTTTATTACAACTTAATAATTCGTTTTCATTTAACACATATTTCTTTTAAAAGTATTCCGTTCAGATTGGGATTCAGAGTATTGGGATGTTGAATTTGCAATCAAAAATATAAGGACAGTTCAGTAAAATCGGTCAAGTATCCCGGTCGCGTCAAATGTTACACTACATCTTTAACTAAACATTTTAACATTAATGAATATACATCAAAAAGGCCTTCCGCTGTCTGATTTTATTCTACTACACATATCTAACAAGACATTTATGGAGCAATCATGCAAAAAGATGAAAGAAAAGGCACCTCACGTAATAGAAAAATCAAACTTTTTTTAATTCAAAAAAAATATTAGTAGAGCTAGGTAGTGAGCCTGCCGCCGAACACAAATTGGAGGCTGACAAATGTGACAGGGTCATACAGTCTCCGTAATAATAAAGTGAATCACATCGCGTCGCATCTCCGCAAGTAAATTAATTAGCGAACACAAACGGAGTTGTAATTGAGAAACTTTTAAAAACCTCAGGGCCGGCCAATAAGTGAATTAGCCCCTCGGAGGCCGGGGCCCGATAAAAGTCGCCACAAAAATTAGATTCCTCCATCGGGGAGCGAGCAGGCACTTTTTGCCCTTTGATCTCGTTTAATGAAGTTCACCTCTTTCAGGTTTGTAGCAAACGGCCCGTCAATTTGTGGAAAAGTTCCTTTGATTACCTTCTCTAGTCTCTGTAACGTCGTAAAGCTTTTAATGGTCTCAAAGTTCGATATGGCAACAGATAAAATATGCTTAACATTTTGACGCAAATCGATAAAGTTTGTCGCATTATCGAAACCAATCGACGCCTGTAGAAACGTTGTGTTGTAATTTTAACTTAAACCTAATAATTGTGACTTTGGATAATTATGTATGTTCGTCTAAAATAGATTATTTTACTACTCGTAAGTAGCGATCGAGATATATCAACGACATTTCTTTTTTTTATCCAGTGTTATTATCAATGACTGGTAAATTATCTGTGGGTCGCACAGATAGTTCTCTCGTGTGGGATTTGAACCCACGACCTCCTGCCCCGAAGCCAATAGTTGGCAACTGCGCCACGGAGTCATCACACGTAACGTTAACAGCCGTGTAATTTGAAATGGCACAAACAACGAATATATCTTTAGGTTAATACCTTAGTTATAATTCCACTCTTACCGTAGTCAGTCTGTGAAGCAATTTAGAGCGGTAAATAGCCCGAGGCGCACCGTGGGGTTGTTCCGACAAGCCGAAGTGTTGTTCCGCACTCGTCTAGTTTATACTGAACTATTTTATATGAACTAACTCAGATTTTCAGATGAAAATGCGTACTCGTTTACTAGAACTTTCCTATCTTTATATGAACAGACGTAGCTGTTAAACAAATAGCTACAGAACATCAAAATTGAAATATTATTATGGACTTCAGTTTAACGATCACAGTAGCCACATTCAGAACTTCTTTAGGTCTTTTGTTTTAACATCTGATGATTTTTGATAGTCTTACTCTTAAGACAACATATTATTCTTTTTTATTTTTATTTATCTCAAAACTTTGACAAGCGCGCCTGCAATGCAACCAATGATGTCAAGAGTTGGTTCGTAGTTAGCAATATTTTTTTAAATAATAAAATATTTTGTTTTATTAATAAAGGAGAAACTCTCGGATTCAGAAAAGTTAAAGCAATATTTTTACTGTTAAACATTTATTTTATGCATTTCATTTGTTCGCGCTTAACCCTTTTCTAAACCTGAGACATTTCAACCATAAAATAAGAATTATGAAAAATCTAATGGCAGGTTAGGTTAACGATTAAAGAACTATCGATCGGTTTCAATATTCAATCTAGAGATAGATTTGGTTACTAGCGAAATGTATGTCAAATTAATCTCAAATTTTGACATTAGCTACATAATACTTACGTTAAAATTCTATCTTCAGTAACCAAATCTATCTGTTGATTTAGTATTGAGACCGGCCGTAGTTCAGACGTTAGTAAAATGTTTGATACGTCGGTAACTGCAGAACAACTCAAACGCGTTACAATTCGTAAAATAGTTTAATTTACAATGTATTCGCATAAGTCCAAGATTTCATTAAACAAAATTACAGTAAGTTAAGTTAATTACAGTTCTGCGGGTGATAAGTGGAATAGATCACCTAAAAGTTATTAATTGTTAGCTCGGCAAGTGCTAAACTCTAAGTTAGAGTTAATTGCTTACCGATGGTGCTGGCGGCCGTAAACGATGTTTAATTGCGTGTTTCGTTCAAAAGAATATATCTTAGTGTATGCAATACTTATCACCCGTTTTAGTTGCCGTAATCAATATTAACAAAAAAAAATTAAACAATAGGGAAAATTCAGTAAAGAATTAATGAAATATAAGAAATATTAAAAAATATTATTTCATTCTTAAATTTGACTTTTCGAACCAGAATACTCGCTCTGTCGCCCCTGAGCCTATGATACCTTCAAAACGAGGTTCTGGCTCCGCCTTTTTATGTTCACTCTAGGGGTAGAGACCACAAGACCACATGGCGTCGGGCCGCTCCGTGTCGGATTTTTGTGATTTTACTTTATATTTCAAGAAGAAGAAGTAGCCTGCTAAAATTTACCATTTTTACCATTTTTGACAAACATTCCATTAATATGAGAATACCTACATAATGTTTGATTAACAATGTTATCGATAAAGCTACCTATTCAAAGCCAATTTCGTATGAAATTTAAGTGATTGATATTGCTACAATAGAAGATTCGTTGCCAACCTAAAGGACACCCAAAGGGGGAAACTCTGGTTACCTGATACAACAAACCTGCATTATATGTCTGTGTCCTGTAGGGTCGTGGTTCTTACCCGGACGGGCCTGCCCACTCGAGAAACAGCAGAAGATGACGCGAGGCCCTACCACAGTACACACTAACAGCGTATTGTGCGTTATGAACTTTGATTAACACTTTGAACA